GCAACCCTACCTAGGAGATAAATAATGAGGGAAGGAGGGGGCCATGGGTGGGATAGGTGGAGGAATGAGGAACGAGGAGGATTTACTGTGACTAGCACTGAACTGTCAGACTTCCTTGAACTGTGTCCAAAACCTTAGCTGTCAAGCAACAGTTTTTCAAATTCTGAACCTTTTAGCATCAGGGTAGGGGCAGGATGCTATGATATTGGAGACAAAAATACTCATAATGCCTGTATCTAAATGTAAAAATGTGCATTATGGATTGTGAGTTCTTTTGTAAGTAATTGTTTTCTGGAAAGTATCTGCATGTTATTAAAAACAAGTGCACCGCCTTTTCCTTTGTCACTGGATGGAGCTTTTCTTCCTGAATGGGTCAGTGCCCCAGGAAAGCACAGTGTATGTATCCCACTGTGCTCGACACAGTTTTAAGCTCCGGGTCAGGGAGGATGCCTGTAACTGGCTGCCTGGTGGCAAGTGCCATGAAGTCCATTAACCTTTCCAGAGTGTGCTTGTGTGGCTGGACAGGGATTAGTGGTGGGGAAATGAAGAGGGATTTGACTGCCTACGGAGTGGACTCCTGCTTTGTACGCCTTTGGGTCCCATCTCAGACTCATCCTGCCAGCAGCAGCATCTTTAATGTGGTCTTTAATTTTCAGGCTGATCCTTGTGCCTATTGGCTAAACCTCTTGGGAGCCAGATTGGGGCCTTTAGCATGGGTCCAAGCTTTCCAGTTGTCTATTCTGAAAACCCTTCCCTCAACTAGAGACTTAGATTAAGTGGTTTTGCTGTTTGTACATTTTGCTCCACGCTAAGATTTTGTTCGCCATGTTGCTTCAATGGCCTTGTTGTTTTGTGCCTTCGACTTGGGTTTTGGAACAGAGTAATAAGGCTGCAAGGCGGGCACATGTAAAACTTTATACATGGATCTTTAAACTATACTGCTCCAAACTGAGCTATTTAAATTTTTGAGTTAGTAACATTTAGCATTGCATGTCCCTGTTAATTAGGATGGATATTAAAAGCCATGCAGCCCCGTGGAAAGAGTTTTGGATGTGCATCTGGAAGGTTAGGTTCAAAGATTGTTATCGTCATAGTGCTGCTGAGATTCAGTTGCCAGTTGTAGGCAGCCTGTGTTGGTGGCTTAGAGTCATGAGTGGCCACAGGATTCAGATAACAAGCCATAGTCAACCCTGTTAGGGACCACCTGGTGAAAGATCTCTTCTGAGGAAGGGAGATTAAGACAAGGACGTGGGTGAGCCAGTTATTACCTGTGAAGCTCACTGGGTGACCTTGACCCTGGAAGGGTGGGATAAATATGCAGGGGATAGATAGAAACAAAGGTAGGGCAGTGTCCAGCGGCAATTAAGGTAACCTGTTGGTCAGGAAACTGGTTGTGGCGTGCTTGGAAAGCAGTTATATAGGGCAAGGGTCAGCAGTGGCCAACATCTGTCTTGGAGGTGGGGCCATGCTGAGTGGAAATAATATTACATCAGAGACTTGTGCCCTTGGTGAAACTTCCTGTTCAAGACTCCCCCATCTGCCCCATTGAGAGGCCAAGGTCGCATCACAGTCCCTTTTTTCCCCAAATGGGAATTTTAATGATCTGTCATCTTGCCCTTCCTCCAAGGAGCTTTGGGTGGTATATATGGTACTCTCATCCTCTGGTCTATCCTCCCAATAACCCTGTGAAGTAGGTTAGCTTGGGAGAAAATGACTAGGTCAAAGTCACCTAGTGAGCTTTGTGGTGGAGCTGGGATTTGAGCACCACTCTTCCTAGTCCTAGAATGATGCTCCAACCACTACATACCACACTGAATCTGCTTTACGGGCTTAGAGAAGATTAAATAGTTTCCTGCTCTGGTCCTAGTAGGATAGCGTGACCTCTGTAGGTAAAGAAACAAAAAAAATTGTCTGAAAGAGGGAATTCGGTTAGCATGTAAAATGCTTTGATTGAAGGGGGCCCATGCATTGGGGGTAGCCTTAAATTAGCCCATCTCTGCACACTGATTTATGTGGCAAATTTAGGCTAATATTTGCCAGGGGATGTAGAAGATGTAACAGAAACATACTTTCCATTAAAGCCTCTCATTTGGAAGAATGTTCTTAGACTCCCAGTGAAAGCTTTCCTGTCTTCTTTCAATCAGGTTGGCTCGATTCCTAAGAAAATTCCATATTGCCCCACCTATCCACAGCCTGTGTGAGCTTGTTTGTGGGGCTGCGCCCTGCTTGTTCCAAGCTGTTGGTTACAATGTAGGTTCCATGCCTTCGACTTCTCTGTTTCTGATTGGAGAAAGGCAACCCAGGAGCTCCAAATTCAAATTGGGATGTTTCCCGAACTGTTGGTGGAAGTGCCTGTTGTGTCCAAAGCTGTTATTTTTTTAAAAAAATCTTTCATTGTGTAAGTAACACAGATAAATGGTAACCAGATAAGCAATAAAAAGGGTTACAGTACAAGCCAACCTTCCAACAGTCACTGAGGATGAACCAGCCTTGATTTGGAATTGATGTATTACAAGTGGGGGTGCGTCTCATTTTCCCCTGTATCCCCCCCCTCCACCACTATTTCATCTTTCACTTACCTGACAGCTCCTATAGCCTCTTCCCTCTTGCTGCTTCCTTCTCTCCTTCCTTATCACCAGCCAACCTAAATTTTATCTGCCCCCCCACACAGCTTCAGCTTTCTCCCCTTTCCTCCAATGGCAGCCTTTCCCTGGGAAAAGTCTGGCCCAGTTCTGTGGGTAGTGAGGTTCTGATGGTCACTGCTGGGCCTGTCCCTGGCGACTCCTCCACCATCAGGCGACACGACGGGGGAGGGAAATGAGACCTTTTCCAGGGTTGTTTTGGCCTCCAAGTCCATCCTTCCCCTCATGGCCTTTCTTTACAAAAACCAAGGCTTGGAAGGCTTAGCAATATTGTTGGGGTTGCCTAGTAACCTCCAAAATGACCACAGAGAGCTAGGGTTGCCAGCTCTGGGTTGGCAAATACCGGAGATTTGGGGGGTGGAGCCTGGGGAGGGGAGGGATCTTAGCAGGGTATAATGCCATAGAGTCCACCCTCCAAAGCAGCCATTTTCTCCCAGGGGAACTGATCTTGGTCAGCTGGAGATCAATTGTAACAGCAGGGGATCTCCAGGTGCCACCTGGAGGTTGGCAACCCTATGGAGAGCTATCATCGGTGGCACAGTTCAAAATTGGATACATGATGGTCAGTTGAATAGATAGCCAGCTGGGTTTGATGGGTTCCTGAGTTAGCCTCATCTGATGTGTTTGCTTTGTTATATGCTCAAAGGTATTCTGAAAGAAGTAATATTCTGTAGGCCAAAACATACGTCTGTGGGTCTAACTTGAACCTAGATCACTGAGATTCAGTATTCCATACCCAGACAGAAGACGTGTCATGTCACTGTTATATTCTTCACCTCTTCTCTAAGCAGTTGCTCTGGAACCCTGGTGAACAACTAGTTTTGTCCAGGTTCTGATGTCCAAAGGAGCATAGTCTCCCTGGCCCATCTTCTGGACTGAGTTGGAAAGACTGACTTATTTCTGTCATAGTCTCTGTTCCCCACGCCCTAAAAATTCCAAAGGAGGCCTCTGGTACTAAATCAAACCATAAACTCATCTCATAAACCATAGCAACCCATTCATCTTGGTGGATCCAGATAACTGCTCGTGCTTTCTTTTTTGCTGTATCACAAGACCTATATTAAAACAATTATTGTGATGGTAGATGAGTATTGTCCCATTTTTAGAGCAGGCACTGCTTCCCCATCAGCAGTTTGGGGATGCTTTGCACATCTCTTTTTCTCAAAGGAACTCCTTGATTGAAATAATACAACTGGTCAGAAATCTGTATAATTGGAGTTGCTGCGAAGTACAGCTGTAAACAAGAGACGTTTTTTAAAAGAAAAGGAATCTTCCTCCTGTTTCACTGGCAGGCTGGCTTTTGGCTTCATCAGGACCAGAAGCCGTTTCTAGCAAAATCTTGTGGCTATGATTCTTCTGCATGCATCATTCCCAGCAAGCAGGGGTTAAACATAATTCATGACAGGCATGTAGCAGTTAATGGGTGAGACAGAGAGCCGAGCCTGTGGCAGTTCCTTCTGTTTGAGTTCTTTGTGCATGGAACAGGCAATACCTAGGCTTCCATTTATTAATGTTCATTTGATGGGGGGAATGAAATCTTCCACCCTCTAGTCCGAAATGTACACAAACACTTCTTCCCTCCAAGGATTTATAGTATATTGAAAAGAACAGAAGGGGACTTAATTTATCCTTTGTCTGCTGAGGCCAAGGCTCCCCACCCAGTTTTCTGTCGAGCTGCGTTCTGATCATGGCACGCTGCCACCAGCCATTCCGGGTTACAGGAGGGGTGCAGTAGAGAGAGTTTGGGCAGGGGAAGCGGGGGTGAGAAAACTGATAGTTCTTTTTCACACCCTAACATTTCCAATGTAAGTGTCTTGTGGTGCTGAGGGATTTGTGGCATAAGGTAAGGTAAGTGCCACATTTTCCCGGTGGCAGTTGCGTACTCAGAAAGGAGACCGTGCTGGTTTCTTCTTGTGTGAAACCCGGAGACACATCATGGATGCACCAGAGGCCGTCCGTCGCGACGCCAGGCGGAGGCATTTTCTGTGCAGTGGGCGCTGAAAAAGAAAGAGAGAGAGAAAGCGAGGGAGAATGTCTGCCAGAATTAGATCAATATGAAACAATCTTTGTTATTGGATGGCTGCCCAGACTTTCTGCTGCAACGGTAAATGTAATTGGTTGCTTCCTCCTACCATGCGCAACTCCATGTAGGAAATGCCCTTCTTTTCTCTCTCTCTCTCTTGCTCTCTCTCTCTCTCTCTAAAAAAAATCCACAATGGCTGACTTGAATACACCGCACTGTCAGTATCTGGAGATTTCCTGTTAAAATGAATTTCTAGTTGCTTCTCCAAGCAAAAGCTCGAAGCCAGGGGTGGAGACTGCTTTGGCTTAGCTGATTCTGTTTCTTCTTTCCTGCAGGTTGCTGAAAAGTGCCTTCCTTGAAGCCGCCGCCACCGCTGCTTGGATTTCTGTCTAGGGCTTTGCCTCGCTTGCTTTTTAAGATATATATCTATATACATATACACTCCCCCAACTTTTTTAAAAAATTGGCGTTTGCTTGCAGTTCACACCCTAAAAGCAATTCATCCATCTGGGGTTGGTTGGGTTTTTTCCCTCCTTCCCCTTATACGCTCAATTTTCTCAGCCATCACCCCCTCCCTCCTGATTATGTAGCAAATTCTATTTTAGAAGAAAAAGGAAATCCTTCTTCTGGTTTTAACACTTGCAACTCCATCAATCTGTAGAAGCAAGAAGGAGTCAGAACTTTCGGAATTCCTCCCCCTCCAAGGAAACAAGACCATCCCACAACTGCAGCATTGCCAGCAGCTTTTTTGTTTGTCTGTTTTGGGTGAGAATAATTGAAACCAGTAACTGGAGAGCACAGAATCCCTTGAAAAAGTCTGCCAGTTATTTTGAAATAATAATTTCGGCAGTGGCACAAAATATTATATACATATATATATAAATATATACACACACACACACACATAAACATTTCTATTTTAACTTTGACAATTGCACTTTTCGGAGCTGGCCTCTAATTTAATTTTTCAGTTAATTCTGATGAGATTTCTATTTTATGATTGGCTTTATGTTAACCCTTGTTTTCAACAAACACAGTTTGAGTTTAATGGAAACCTAAGTGCTGACAAGAGAAATTTTACCAAAGCAACAAGTTATTTCTTCACTTTTTTAAAAACTTTTTTTTAACCCTCCCCCCCCTCCTAAAATCATCAGCACTGTCCTCCTAAAGAAGGGTGCAGTTGCTTGCATTTTCATTTTTCTCTTTTGGGGTGTGTGTGTTTTTTCTTTTTAATATGGCTATGAACGTTTCTTTGGTTCGTGATACAAAATGGCTGACCTTAGAAGTATGTCGAGAATTTCAGAGAGGTACTTGTTCTCGGTCTGACACAGAGTGCAAGTTTGCTCACCCGTCGCGGAGTTGCCATGTGGAAAATGGACGAGTTATCGCCTGCTTTGACTCCCTCAAGGTAAGGCTTGCCTTAACACCTGTCTTGCTGGGTCTTGCTGTGTTTGCATTAAGACTGCATTGCTTGATTCATTGGTCATTTGGTTGATTTATCAAATTCAAGGACAGGAAGACTCTCCTTTGCTGGCATACAGCTGTCTCACCTAGTGGGCACTGGGAGCCATAGCTCTGTGGTAGATCATGTGCTTTGCATGCAAAAGATCTTCATGACATCTCTATTCAGGCGGCTTTCTAGAGCAGGACTTGCAAAGTCTGAGACCTCTGCTAATTAGAGTAGATAACATTGGGGGCTAAATGGACCACTGACTGACTTGGTAGAAGACAGGCTCATAGGTAGAGAAAATGCAAGAGAGAGAAGAGGTGGGTATGTCTAGCGTAGTTCATACCTAATGTTTTCACAGTTGTTAAGAGAGTCTTCAGTTTGCTCCACATACATTGTCTTGCCTCTTCATTAAAAAGCCCTATAAGGTAGGCGAGTAGTCCTTCTTTGAGAGGCAGTAGCTTGCTTGAAGTTGCTTAAACTGTATGTGGCTGTGGCAAAACTTGAATTAGAACATTGTGGGCTGTCCAGAGAAGGAAGTTCAGTTTGTGGAGGGCTGAAACACTGAAGCGATATATCTCTTGTGTTTGTATTTTGCCTAAGATGCTCAGGATGGGTATGCGTAGGGGCTGTCCTACTTTTGTTCTCTCAGATATCCTGTGAATGTCGCTAGGCTGAGCGATTGTGACTGACCCAAGGTCACCTAGTTTATTAGTTGTTGTAGATTTCCCGGGCTGTATGGCCATGGTCTTGGCATTGTAGTACCTGACGTACTCCAACTTTCTGTGTTATACCTCTGAGGATGCCAGTCACAGCTGCTGGCAAAACATCAGGTACTACAATGCCAAGACCATGGCCATACAGCCCGGGAAATCTACAACAACTAACAAACTCTGGCCGTGAAAGCTTTCAACAACATATTGTCACCTAGTTTGTTTGCTTCATGGATAAATAAGGATTTGAACCCAATTCTTGCTGGATCAGTTCCAGCCTCTGTGCTGTGCTGGCTACACTGAGTCCTTTCTGGATTTCAGTCTGTACCTTCTCAAATGTGCTTGAGGATCAGAGTGTAATATATTCTCATACCAGTCAATTTAATGATCCTCCTTTCTATTCCTGATTTGAATGTCATGGTGGACTCTTTTGGTAGTAGATGTGGCACTCCAATCTGGGCAGTGGACAGGATACTGTGTCCTGGATCACTATGGCTCGTAATTTCAGCTGCTGCAGGCCATTCATAATAGTTTCCTTCCATTTTCAGTCTTGTGTAGCTGAGGGCAGGATACATGGCCCAGACCCCCCCTACCCTGTGGCCCAAGGCAGGTTGAACAGCCCAGCCATTCCTTAAGTGGAATTCTCCTCATTTTCCCTCCCCAAATCACTGCAGTCCTTTTACTGTTCTTCAGTTTTATGAAGATTAGAACCTTTCTTTTGTAATGAAAGTTCACCCTCTTCTTACAAGCTGCTTGTAAGAGTGTCCCTTCCTGTTAGCCTGTTACCTGCCTGCTTTGTTACTGATAGAACACTGAGAACAATCCTTTATTTTCTGTAGCATTTAATGGCTTGGGAGTACTGAATTTCAATGAGTTTATCTGTGTTCTTGTTTAAATTGGATTATCCCTCCCTCCTCCCCCAAATTCTCAGAAATATAAATGGGTCTGTTGAATGAAATGAGAAGTCTGCAGAAAGGACCCATAAAGACCTCCTTCAGCCATCCATAAATCAGTTTCTCCTAATTTTGCTTATCTGATTTCTTGACATTATTTGGTTTTGTCTCTTGCTGGCCTAACCAGAAGTAAATTCAGCAGAAAAAAAAGTCAGCAGGACTGGAAGCAATAGGAAGGTGCTGACTCCCAGGGGGAGGAAAAATCCCAACCTGGAGAGGTCCAAGGAGAGTATTTGCAGATAACATATAACAATCAACTTCCTGCCTTTCTGGGAAGCATCAAAGTGATTTCCCTCAACTTTTCTCCCTTTCTGCCTGAGAGATTGCCAGTCAGGGCAGGGCCTGTACTTGCCTGAGGAAGACTGTAAGGGCAGCTCTGCTGAAGTGTAGTTCTAAACTCTAGCCATGAGGGGAATGTTGACCTGTGTGATGAGAGCGTCCAGTCCTTGAGAATCAGTTGATCCATGTCCTCTGAGACACCAGAGAGAGAATCAAGCTCTGGGGAGGGTGTGGCTCTCCCCCCCCCCCATGGGAAAATTAAGAAGAAATGTGGAGGTCAGAAAATCCAGGAGTTGAGATTAGCAAATCGTTGTTTAAGATGAGGGAAACAGCTTGGCTATGACTTTAGGACAGATCTTTGGTAATGGTAGAACTTGGTCAAAATCAAGAGAGCCTTTTTAAAGAGTTTGGTCATTCTTGTTAGCATACCTGGAATTTCAGCAGGGCATGATGCACCTTGGGACTTTCTTAGTAGAAAGGATATGGGAAGTAGGCAGCTGTGCATCTGAAGTAGGATTGGAATGGCTAAGCTGTTTGCTGGCTGTCATTCAAGTGTGGCTGGTTTTTCCAGAAGTAGACACAGCTTTACTACTTTTCGGGTGGAAAGCCCTTGAACACTTAGAAACGTGCAAGCCTTCCTCAGTTTTGCCACATCCACTTGTAAGGGGAGAATTGTAGTGTACAGATATTTGACCTCCTGAATTATGTGCGTGGCCAGACCCTGGTTGAGCCTACAATCAGGAATGTAGCTCTAGGATAGCATCGTGGCCAGACCCTGGTTGAGCCCACAATCAGGAATGTAGCTCTAGGATAGCATACATGATGCAGAATTTATACAAATTTAAGTTGAATAAATACGTAAACTGATTAAATCAAATGAATTTGGGTAGACTTGGTTAGAACTGCCCATCCTTGGTTTTGTAAGAAGGCTTGTGCACAAGACAGGACTAATTGCCAGCTGCCAGCCTCGTTATCCGTGAGGTGCCAAGTTAAAACCACTTTATTCCTCTGAGCATATGATGGAGGGATGATTTTGACTACTCCTTTAATATACATTTTATATTGGATTTTTTAAATTAGAATGTTAATTGGTTTTATTGTTGTGAGCTGACTTGATAGCAGAAATAGCTTTCCCCCTCATAACTGAAGAACAAAATTGGCTGAGAAGTTCTCTCACACAAGTCACATTAATCAATTAATTTAAAATATTTACTATCCCGCTTCCTTCCCAATTAACGGGACTCAAAGCGGTTTACATTAATTTAAAAGCAAATATATAATATTAACTCAGCAAAAAATATAAATAGAGGGAAACCGGCTACAACGTCACTCATGGACTACCAAAAGCACAATGAAAAAAGGTGTGCTTGACAGAGCCTGTGAAACCTTAATTTATCCCAGTTTTGCACAGGAAAAAATGGGTCCAAAAGCAGATTACAGCAATTAAAAACTGGTATACTTTAATACAATTAGAAACTAATGCAGCTAATTAAAATAGAATTTTTATGTTATGTCCAGGTATGATGGAATGGTGCCTGGCTGCTGTCTCTCCACTCTTTGGCCTCGCTGTTGACATTTTGATAGCTAGAAGGAAGGGAAACTAGAGCAACATCCAGGTTCAATGGAAGGATGCCTGGCTGCTGCCTCTTCTTCTGTGAAGGAGCAAAGAAATGAATAGAACAGGAGCACTGTCTAAGTGAGACTTTTGCAGAAGAGGTGATCTGTGCTCTGATCTGCTTTTGTTTTTGGAAAAACTCTTTAACTGAAATTGGCACAGCATTGCACTAGGAATGTTGGCATATGTTCCCCTTAAGGTACCAGATTTTAGCCTGAAATAGTTGTTCCTCTGCTTTGTGTATGTAATTTCTGTGGAGGTAGTTTGTCAAAAGATACAAGAGCTAGATAACCCTATAGCTTTGCTGTCATTAACATGTATTCAATAGCCAATACCCAGCTCCTTGAACTATGCAGTCACTTTGCTGTTGCTGCTTTAAAAGGGTGTGTGTGTGTTTTGCTGTTTCCTTAAAGTCTTTCAACCGTGGCCAGCAGCAGCATGAATGTTTTGGATAAAGAGATTTAATCTGTTTGCATTGCTTTTATAACTCATATGTGAAATATTTTGCATGAGAATCCAGTTTGAGTCCAGTAAGGGTCACATCCAACATAATGACCAGACTAGTTTGTTTGATCCCAGAACATTTTAGTTTCCTTGCACTGGTTTCTTGCTTGGCAATTGATGAACCCGACTCACCAAGGAGGACTTACTGAACAGTATTATGTGGATTTTTTTCTTGATTTTGGATTTTGCTTGCAGAAGGGCATTCTGGGCCTTCCTTTATTACTCAGTAAAATTTGAAGCTGGTTTCTTTTGGCCTGGAAATCTTCAGGGGAAGGAGTTATGGGATGATTGTTGTGTGTGATGGATGCCTGGATGTGCTTATCATCTGAAGGGGAAAAGAGACAGCTGCCCAGAAATCTCTGTGTCTAAGCGAAAAACCAGTGGCAATTATGACACTGAAACCCTCCGTCATGTTTCAGATCATGTTTCGTCCTGGTAGAGCTGTGCAATTAAGGTGACTGAACTGACAGTGATTCTTAAAAGCGCACACAGCAAATGGGAGAGAAAATACCAGTTTTGCATGATCAGGTGATGATATTTAATTGTAGTGAATCTGCAGCATTCTAGGCCAGTATTTCCCTGAGTATGTGGTAGCTGAGGGATGTTTCCCTCCCCCCTTCAGTTCTGGAAGTTAGAAGCACATTTCACATTTGCACCCCCCAAAAAGCATACTTTGGAGTATGAAAGAGCACAAATTCAGAAGCGCTCCATGTGCATCTGCATGAGCTTTTGTTCTCAGCATAATAGCAGCATTATTCAGAGTGTTTCACATTCCTTACAACAACCTTGTAAAGTAAGCGACGACTTCCGGTCTATGGAACAGCAATGGTGGACACTCTTCCCAAGACAGGGAAGGGCGGTTCGCACACCAGCTGCCTGGAGGGGTGCCATCTCAAG